ATTGTATTCTATATTATTACTTTTATAATGACGTTTTTGAAAATTATGAAACTAAAATAACTAATTTTTATATATTTATATTCTATATTACTTTTATAATGACGTTTTTGAAAATTATAAAAATAAAATAATAACTAATTAAAAAATAACTATGTATTTATATTTTATATTTTTTTGTTACCGGACATTTTTAGCAGGATATTTTTGGTACAGGTTCTTTTTGAACCGGATCAAATGTCGCGGATCAATTGTCGCCGGATATTATATACCGGACCAAATGACGGGTCACCGATAAATACGCGGTCGTTTAATATTATGAAAAAAGATGGAAACGTAATCTACGTAAATAATTGTAAATATAGAATTTATAGTTCCCTGGCAATAACTGTAACGAATTCATCAGAAACGACTCGACCGTTGAATGGATCGGTCGAACACAATAAGCTTTCTCTCTCATTTATAAGAAAGGTTAATTATCACATATATGAACTTTAATTGTATCGATTTGTGTATTTTGTACAATGCCAGCAAGACGCAAGGGGTCTGATTTGGCTCGTCAAACGACCAAAAGTACAATAATGCGAGATAGAAGAGCACAACCGAATAATGAAAATGTACGTGTGAACATGGTGCGATTGCGTGAGGCACAAGTGGAACAAAATCAAAAAAGACGATTAGAAGCGTGTCAATTCGTAGTTGACACACGCAGAGCAAATGACCGACAACGCCAAAAAGTACATAGAGCATTTACATCCAATTCATTCCTTCGTCTAGCATTCGAGTATGGGCTCGATATTAAATATTACGCTCATTCGAAAGTAGAGATTGGTGCTATGGACAAGGAATGTCCGCATTGTAATGCGCTTAAGTTCAAAAATGAGCCAGCCGGTATCATGGGCGCCGAGTTTTCCAACTATCATGGGGTGCTCAAAATCCAAAATTATTTAACTTGTACCTAAATAAAAATTCTAATTACCCAATAAAAAAAAAAAATCAACAAAGCATTACTCGTCTATTGACTTCATTCTTGTACATTTTTACAACATAATTCAGTAATTTATAACTTATATACAAATAATAAGTAACAATATTTTTTTTTACTTTTTACAATGTATATTCTTAGATTGCTTAACCTCTTGATGCACACATATTTTTTTAACCAATTTTTTTTTTTATTTTGTATGCAAATGTATTATAATAATTAAGAAAAATATAAAAAAAAATTTTAGAATAATTTAATATAAGAAAATTTTAAAAATAACACATGGCATCATATGTATCATCGTGCATGTGTGGTTGTGCTACATTACAGTAGTGTGGTGTTGGTGTAGTTGCAATAAAGTATACACCACATAACATAAAACCATTTTTAAATTTGTAATTTAATTATTTATTACAATTTTCATAAATAACAAACTAAATACTACAGACATAACCAAAAAACTTAATGAAAATCAAAATAAATAATTTATACCTTTTGGTAATAAATTGTAACAAACATAAATTATTATAACAATTTTAGTTTATTATTATATAATGACTAATTAAACTTAATTATATAATTACTGTCGTTACTGCCGTAATTTTATTATTTTTATTTTTGAGTGTGGAAGTTTTCCATGCATTCTGGACATACTGGTTCATCACATTTTGAACATTTATAGCGTGTTCAACTTCTACATTGGTCATCATGACACCTGGGAGCACTTTTCATTTCAAATTTTTTTGGCCAATGATTTTCGCCATCATATTTGATTTCGGGAATAGTTTTATTTTGAGCCGTTTTAGTTTTTTTTGGGTTGGTAAATGGAGCGGGCGAAGCACATGGTGAACTTGAAGGACGACCTCTTTTTTTTTTTTAGACGTTCAGCTGTAGAGTTAAGCTGTGTTAAGCTAGTAGCTATTGAAGCTTTAAAACGAAGTAGAGATAATGGAGGGTTTGGACTTTGTCTATATAAGATCCACGCGTTCACAATTGCAATATTCATAAACTGAAAAAATATCCGGAGATACCATTTTTTGTTTTTAAAACCATGTGGATAATGGGATATAAGACGATCCATAAAATCTACTCCCCCCATAAATTTATTGTATTCTTGAATACAAAACGGTCTATCAACTTTGATTCTAGTTTTTTCTTTTTTATCGTAACGTACTATTTCATAAATTAGTTCAGCACCGGCATATGAAGAAATCATATGAACTTCCCTCTTATCAATCCAACGCACAACTGTAATGTTGTCTTTTGACGTAGCGATAGTACATGAAGCTCGTTGAAGTTGTTTACCTGGTACTCAGTGGCGTTTTCTCTGGGTGTGCAAGTTGTGTGTTAACGCCCTAAACATTGATGTCATACATGTGTGTAATATTGTAATTTGTAATTCATATTAGTATATTACATGGTTATATAATTTTATTTACAAAATCTTAAAATAATTGTCATGTAAAAATAATAATATCAAATAATAAACTATTGTTACTATTGTCTATTTTAAGCTCTAAACTCGACCAATCACAATCTACATCTCAATTAAAATCCAACACTCCTAAATCATTCGCAGAAACCACAGTAATCACCACTTTTCCAAAAAAAGATCAAGCTATTGTTCTAATCACCATTAACGACATAGCCCAAATTGAATACATAAAATCTCTTGGAAAAATCACTTCAACCAAAAATATTACATTCGCATCTCGTATCTCCAACAACCGTTTTTGCGTTTATTTTACGAACAAACATATCGTTGATGAATTAATTAAAAATCACTCATCTATATCAGTAAATGAACATCAGATACCTTTTCGCCGGTTGGTTAACCCAGCAAAAAGATTCATTATCTCGAATGCCCACCCAATAATCCCACATGAAATAATCTTCGAACACCTACTACTAGAAGGCATCAAACCTATATCTCAAATAACTTTTCTTAAAGCCGGTTTTCATGACGACAGGGCAAACATTAGTAGCTTTCGTCGCCAGGTATATATACACCCTGATGACATTGCCAATGTACCCGGCTCAATCGTCATTAATTTTGACAACACAGACTTTAGAATTTTTTTAACAGACAATACATTGACATGCTACGTAGCCACCAATCTGATCATACATCTTCTTTCTGCAAAAAAAATAAAAACAATAATCACGACGACAACACTAGTAATATCCAAATCCCCACTAGCGATGAGGACAGTATATTACCTAATTCCTTAAGTTCTACTCAAACGATATCTACATCCAACCAGAACGAAAACGTCACGCAGGAAAAATACCTCATCTCCAACAAAACTCAAAAGTTAACCCTTATCCATGAAAAACCAAATGTCATCCAGACCTCCTGTATTTACTCAACGGAACCACTCAAGCCTATTAGTACAACTTGTATCCCTAAGGAACCAATCAAAAGACAGCTACCATCGCCAACCAGCTCTTCAGCACCATCAGTTATACCTCACCATTTCGATCAACAGAATAATGAAAATCCTAAACAACCCAAAAACATAAGAGAAAAACTATTAGATTCTAACAAAACTAAAAGTAAAACACTTGACGTATCCAAGAAACTCATAAAATGCAACTCTCTCGAAAATATACACCCTAAACTCATTGAAGGACTCAAACCTGCCGAACCCCTTTTTTCTAATAATATTGAAACACTTATTTCTTACGCTCAATACACATACATAATAGAGAACTTCAGTAATAAATCCATCAATATCAACTCTCTGTGCGAGGAAGCCAATGTCGAAATCCTCACAAATTTAAAAATTACGGAACAAGTTAGAACAATGATAAATGATAAAGCTACAAAAGTTAAGCTCACCAGACTACAAAACCTTTTATTCCAATCCCTCCCAATACATTAGCTATGTCAAACCTCCTATTCCAGACACACCAATAAGGAGTCCTCATACTATAAAAAAAAAAAAAAACTATCAACCATGACCTGTATTATACAATGGAATGTCAATGGATTCTATAAAAGATCTGTTGATATAAACCGAATTCTTTACGAACTCAACTCTAACATAATCTGTCTTCAAGAAACCAATTTTAAAAATTCTCATCTACCTAACCTTAAAAACTACACAGGATACATTAAAAACCGTACAACAGCCAATAGAGCAAGTGGAGGAGTGGCCACATTCGTAAAAAATAACATCGAAAGTAAAGAAATTAACATCCGAACCCACCTAGAAGCAATAGTCACATTAGTGGAACTCGATAAACTAATTCACATCTGCAATATTTACATCCCAAACAGTACTCCGTTCACGATATCGGATATTGAAAATATAATACACCAACTCCAAAACCTTACATAATCTTGGAAGATTTTAATAGTCGAAACACATCCTGGGGATGCAATCGCACTGACCCCCGTGGTAAGACAATAGAACAAGTTATTGAGAACGACCAATTCCTAATTTTATTGAATAGCGGAGACTCTACCAGACATAATAGTTCTAATGGATCACTATCTGCTATTGATCTAACCGTATCCTCCTCTTCTCTAGCTCCTTTAATGGAATTGCACGTTCTTAATTCATATTCTGGAAGTGATCACTGGCCCTTAGAAATTTGGATCCAAAGTAAAAATACTCTGCACGTTCCTTCTCCTAAATGGAATCTCTCAAAACCAAACTGGAAACTTTTTGCGGAACTAATAGAAGAAGAACTGACATCAAACCCGATAGACTTAATCCCTCCAATCACTCAAGTACAAATTGACTCTAAGGTTAACGTTTTCTCCAACATAATAGTTAGAGCTGCGAACATGGCTATTGGACAAAAACAATTTAACAACAAAAACAAAGTAGCTCCCTGGGGGAATGAGGATTTGCAAAAATTTAATTAACAAATACAAAAAAGCTCTAAATCGTTTCAAAAAAACAAAAAACCCTAATGATCACATACTTCTAAAAAAAGCAAGAGCAGAAGCCAGATAGATAACCAAAAGAAATAAAACTCTCATGGAAAGACTTCACCTCCTCTATCAATCACGACATTAACTCCTCTACACTATGGAAAAAAATTCGGTCCTTAAAAGGATACAAATCCCATCCTTGTCCCGATAGACTTAGAGAGATAATAATACAATTTATGATTCTCCGGCGAACATCGCGGAAGCTTTTGCACAATCTTTCAAGACCAACAATAGTAACTTAAATTACTCTGACAAATTTCTATCATTCAAAAATTCTTACCCTCCTATATCAAATCTCATTCCTTCCTCCAACGAACATAGTTTCAACCTACCTCTGAACCTCAAAGAACTACTTACTGTCCTACAAAACAATAAGAGTAAAAGTCCAGGTCCGGACAATATTCCAAATGCTCTCATCCAAAACCTTCCTGAAAAGGGAGTCACAACACTGCTCCAAATCTTCAATTCGATATGGCCACAGGGAGTTTTCCCAAATCAATGGCGGAATGCAACGGTAATTCCCATCCCTAAACCTTATAAAATAAATTCGAAATAAACAACTATCTCTAAATATCTCTAACAAACACTATGAGCAAGATTTTGGAAAAAATCATCAACAAAAGACTCATCTGGTACCTCGAATCGACCAACCGCATCTCCAAACACTAGTGTGGCTTCAGACGCAATCATTTCACCATAGATTATCTTACAATACTTCACACCGACATCAATTCAGCTTTCAAAAGAAACCAACACCTCATTCTTGTATCATTGGACTTACAAAAGGCATATGACATGGTCTGGAGAGACAGAGTATTATCGAATCTCATGAAATGGGACATCAATGATCTCATGTTTCAGTTTCTAACAAACTTTTTAACGAATCATTCTATTAGAGTAAAAACTTAAAACACACTTTCTAACCTACATCCCATTGAGAATGGTCTATTACAAGGCTCTGCTCTCAGCGTCACTCTATTCCTGGTTGCAATAAATGACATTGGCAAAAATCTACCCTTTCCAGTTAAATACAAACTCTTCGCGGATGATTGTATCATTCACTGCAGCGGATCAAATCTAACAACCTCAACACAACTGATACAAGAAGCACTTTACATATTATCCCAGTGGTCCTCAAGAACTGGCTTCACGTTCTCTCCTTCCAAATCGCAAAGCATAATTTTTAACAAAAAAAATAACTACCCATCGCCGCAAATCACCCTAGACGAAACTCCCCTACTCTTCACCAATAATTTACGTATTCTAGGGCTTATCTTCGACCACAAACTATCTTGGAAAGCACACATAAGAAATCTTAAATCTTCCTGCATTACCAGAATGATGATCATCAAAATTTTGTCAAACCTTACATGGGGATCAGATCATAACAGCCTTATCTTAATATACAAATCACTTATTCTCTCTCTCATTAATTATGGCTCTGTTATTTATGGCACTACCAAAAGGAATTTGCTAAACACTTTAGATTTAATCCATAATCAAGGTATCAAATTAGCTACTGGATCCTTTAGAACCAGCCCAACAGACAGCATCCTATGCAACGCAGGTGTACCTCCACTTCAGTTCATCCGTGACATCAATACCACTAAATATATGATCGAGACGTTAAACCTGCCAAACCATATATCCGCCTCTAACTTCCATCATCCCTTTCCAAACTACAGATCAAAAACACCTAACACGATCTTCGAAAACTTTAACCGAATAAAGGAAAATATCAATTTGAATATAGATACAGTCAACAAAATCCGCATCTCCTCATGTGCTCCTTGGACTTGGGCCCCTAATATAAATACCAAAATTCTCGAGTTCAATAAAAACTCAACTGAAAACTCAATCATTGTATCTCATTTTCATGAATTAATCGATCTACACTACCATGACGACGTGCTAATTTATACTGACGCTTCAAAAAGCTTAAACGGAACAGGCTTTGCAATAGTAGTTGGTACTGAAGCTATAAAATTCCGACTTCCATCATTCACTAGCATATACACGGTAGTACAATATGCAGCCTTTTCTCACATCAACTCCTCCCTCATAATAAGCGATTCTTTCAGTGCCCTCATATCACTTCAAGAACAATATCCTCAGAACGAACTTATTAAACTCACCAAAGAATGTATCGTATCATCGAAAATCAAAATCAATTTCATGTTGGTCCCATCACACGTAGGTATCCATGGGAACGAGAAAGCGGACATAATGGCGGATGAAGCGGTCACATCTGAATCTACCGCCTCCATAAA